TGTGCTGGTGCAGTTGTTTAGTATTTTAATTATGTTGGGTCGAGTCATGCTCTGGTTATGTAACACTGGGATCGCTGGGTTTATGCCTTAGAGATATATTATGTATTCTAAGTTATGTTTTAATTGTATTTGAAATATTATGATGATGGCCTCTGTGTCTAAGTGTTGATGATTATGTGATGAACATGAATGTTCCGTGAAGAGAATTATGAATATAAATTGAATCTGCTGCTGCATGCAAAGTGAAAATTTAATAGCATGACTATTTATTTCAATGTTACATGAGTATGACAGGTGAATGTTGCGGTCTGTAAATTATGTGTGACACCCTTTTGTGAAAGCATGTTAATTTACTCTGATTAATTATGTATTTTCCCGTGGGGTTAGAAGGGTGTTACAGTGAGTCCATTCTCTTCCTTTTTTTAATTTTTCTGTAGAATTATGCACACGGGAATAAGACTAGACATGACTGGATCTATTTTTCTCTTTATTTCTTCACTTTTGGTTGATTTTTCCTTTGAATTTCGTGAATAAGATTTTTCTTACATTTGCATCCTCCATGCTTGATAAAATGTTTTTATGAACTTTTCACCTATAGCTCAACATTTCAAACATTATTTGTAAAACTGAAAGTTTTAATATGGTTTTTGTTCAAGTTTTTCTAAATCTTGAATAGTTTTTTATGTTGAGTTGAGATCTATTATTTGTATTTTCTTTATATATATATATATATATATATATATATATATATATATATATATATATATATATATATATATATATATATATATATATATATATATATATATATATATATATATATATATATATATATATATATATATATATATATATATATATATATATATATATATATATATATATATATATATATATATATATATATATATATATATATATATATATATATATATATATATATATATATATATATATATATATATATATATATATATATATATATATATATATATATATATATATATATATATATATATATATATATATATATATATATATATATATATATATATATATATATATATATATATATATATATATATATATATATATATATATATATATATATATATATATATATATATATATATATATATATATATATATATATATATATATATATATATATATATATATATATATATATATATATATATATATATATATATATATATATATATATATATATATATATATATATATATATATATATATATATATATATATATATATATATATATATATATATATATATATATATATATATATATATATATATATATATATATATATATATATATATATATATATATATATATATATATATATATATATATATATATATATATATATATATATATATATATATATATATATATATATATATATATATATATATATATATATATATATATATATATATATATATATATATATATATATATATATATATATATATATATATATATATATATATATATATATACATTTTTAACGAGGTTTGGATAAGTTCCAATGTTATTAATCTTTTAAGCTTGTAAATTTTATCTTTTTAATACATGTTTGGTGTTTGATAAAAAGTCTATGCTTAAGATGTCTTCAGAAATTATGTTTTTTCTCTCGATATGAAGAACTCTTAAAATATAGCAATTTGTTATAAGAAAAAGTCTATGCGTAACTTGTGTTCAAACATAAATTTGACTTTGTTATTTGATTATTATAGGATGCTTCCTAAGTACAATGTCACTGCCATGCCACACTACATGTTGGTTCGATATAAGTTTACTAATAGTAGTTATTTATTGATATTATATAATGTTGCATGGAAGAACCATATTGTTTTGGTTTTATATGTGTTTCTCAGTGGCGTTTTTCGGTGTCCCCGAGGTCAGTTCAACTATTGACACCAATGAAACACGGGAGAAAGCCAAGGAGTTATCATCAGATTTGAAGAGCATAACACAATTATATAATGAATATGTTGTCCCCTTTAAGCTCTATGAGGCACTTCTTTCTCTTTCTGGTTGTGTGTGTAGATTTGTGCAACTTCAGATATTTCTCATCTGGTTGCTCACATTGTTTGATTATTATTGAATAATTATTAGGTGTCCTTCAGAGTCTTTTGAGCTTTAGCATTTAGAATTATTCTAAGCTATTTACTTCCATGTATCATTTAGTTGACGTAAATATTCTGTAACTAATGCTTTTGATTTCACTTTGGTAGTGTGTTAGAAATGAATTGTTCACTTCGGTAGTTAATTAAAAAATGAATTGAAATTGTAACATAATTCATGCAATTCAGGTGAGTATAAGTGGATATGCAACATCAAGTGGTGGAAGAGGCATTGAGAGAGTGGATATGTCTCTTGATGGAGCAAAACTTGGACGAAGGCTTCAAGGTTTTAAAAAAGTGGCATTCCTTACACATCAGACGCAAATGGCAACTGTGACAAATGGGGTTGGGTTCTATTTGAGGTCACAACTGAAATTCAACAAAGCACTGAGATTATCGCAAAAGCATTATGTGATTTTTCTTCTTCTAAGTTTCATATAAGAGTAGGAAATAATATTCTAAGATGTCTATTGAATTCCTTGGACTTTTGTGATATCACTTATTCGTTTCGTGTTGTATCCGTATCGTATTATGTATCCAGGCTTCTAAGGTTATCGATCAAATTTGTAGACACTTTTGTAGAATATACCACATGAATACTGAAAATCTTATAGCTGATATTTTGTTCTTGCAGTGGAGTTAGGGATTGATGATTCTGTTAATAAAGATACGTTAAGAGATCCTGGCATGGTTGAAGTGGATAGCATGTCTGATGAAAGCAGAGAAGAAGAAAGTTCTGCCGAACCAACTTACAAACAAGACCAAGATGGTAACATGACCCACGATTTTTCCGGAGCGTTAACAATACCCTCAACAGTTCTCCATTTTTGTTTAATTTATATGTAACGATTATTAACATTATGACTGCGTGATTTCATGGCTGAAGATTTATTTATTTTTCTTTAATTTTGTTTTGATTCAAACAATTTATTTCAGATACCAATCAATAAATCAATATTTTATTTTACATGTTTTCTAATTATTTATTTAAATTCATTTTAACTTTTGAGTTAAAGACTACTGAAATCTATATTTGGATATGCAGTACAAAGCAATGCAATAAGTATTTAACATGTAAATATTGAAGGCGGAATATAGTGATTTTGTTCAATTTCTTTGTATCTTGGTGACCATGAGCAACAGAATCCTCAAGAATTATCATTCAAAGGCCTTATATGTTACCCATAATGTTATGTGTGAAGCTACTGCAAAATTATGTTTCAAAGAATATTATGTTAGTGTTGGTAACTATAGATTTGAACTCTCCTACTTATAAATCATTGATCTCAATTAGGTGGTTTATATATTTGATTTAATTATCATTTGTGTAGCTTTATCATAAAATGTAGTGTAACAGAATTAGAATTAGATAGAATGAAATTTTATTTATTAAAATTTCTATTTAAAATATATCTTAATCTTATCTATACGGACGCAAGAGATCTTTTACTAGGTTTTTATTTAATTGATTATGTATTTCAACCTTTTCACTGTAATGTTTAAAATGTGATTGAAATATTTCATAAAGTTACACGAGATACTATCAGTTAGATTCAAATAAATAAAAACTTGAATAAATATTATTCTTAATATGCATTTGAATATATTTTTTCTTGTAAAATTTAAATTCGATAAAATTATACTTTTCCTAATACCATATGGACGCACGGATCTTCTACTAACAAACCTATAATAGAGATGTCAAAAATACAATCATGCACAATGCAATGAGGATTAACACGGACAAAAACAACCATTTACAACTCGGATCGTAACATGCCGGAAGCTAAAAATACAAATAATGACATTACTTAGAAATACAACACCATAAAAATCAATACTAATGCAAGCGTTTCTTTACGGAGAGTGAAATATGAGAGCTACTTTTACTAACAAAGGAGGATCCATAGGTGAAGCTATTTGAAAACAAGTAAATTACTACAATTCCACTGTTGCGAAAGCCAAAGTCATCCTCAACACTATTTAGACGACAAAGTAGATGAATGTGAATGAGAGAGACGTGTATACACACTACAAGGATATTGTGTGGCTAGGCTAGGGCCGTATGCTCACTCAATAAACTATTGATAGGAATAAGTTTAATGCAAAATGCAAACCAAAAACAATTGTAACAAAATTAAATAAATAAGAATTTTGTTTAAAAAAAAAATACTCCACATTCTCTCTCCCGTTGTCCCATTTTCTGCGCTTCCACATTAAACGCGCATGTTGGAACTTTTCTTTATTTTCTTTTATGACATTGGATATTAATTTTTTATTGACTATAAAAGATAAAATTCGGATATTATATGCGCTAAGAGAAGAAAAACCGTAATTTCATTTCACATAAACAAAGCGACACTGCGTTCAGGGTTTGACTCTTCTTCGCAGCAAAATTCATAGGTTTTTCTTTTTTCACCGTATTATGTAATTGAATTCCAATTTTACAATCCTTCTCTTTCGCACTTCGTCTCTGAGCTTCTATTACTTTACCTTCGATTCCGAGTCACTGATTACAGAGGTAGGGTTTTCCTTTTCAGTTATTATTTCCCCTAATTTTCCATAACTGTCGATCATTACTATTATTTTATTCGATTCATATTTTCAATTCACCTTCATGTTCAGGTTGGTTAGGATTTACGATAGCGTGATAGGGGTTTCGTTATTCTTTTTGATTTTGAGGCATTTATTGTGAGTAACATGATATAGAAATGAATTTTGATAGGATTGAAGTTTATATATATTGCATGTTCTGTGGTTATGTTGTATTGGATGAATATTTTAATGCTTCAAGATATTTTGTTGAGTTGTTAATTATGTGTGATTTTTTTATATGCAGGTATAGATGCTGGGAAAAAGTGTCTCGAAAGAGCACTTTCAGCCCCGAACATGTTCGGGGAAGAAACCATTGAAAACTGGCCAGGATAAAGGGAATTTAGAGGATATTGTTTTCATTGACTTAGATAGTGATCAGTTTGATGATGTAGAAATCATAGATTGTCCTGAAGTTGTTACGCAAAAGTTGCGTGGGTCAAGTGGGACGAGTAGAGGTAGGATATCGACACCTCAAAGTGTTATTAGCATTGATGATGATGACGACGATGAAAGTGATGACGTGTATGATCCTGAAATTTTTGTAGATGGTGTTGGAGAGTTGGATAGTGATGCGTCTTCGAATAAAAGATTTTATACAGCTTCGAGATCTATGCAACATTCTGTAGTTGTAGATGTTGATGATGTCGTTGAAAAAGATTCTGTTTCAAAGAGGCAAAAAAGTGATAAAGCTTCCGTGTCTAACGGGAAAAAGCGCGAGGAAGTATTCACTCCAAAGCCTGCTGAAAGAAATTGTTATGGTTTATTTGAGTCTGAAAGTGATAGTGATTGTTCTGATTGTGAGGTTATTAAACGTGAACAGTGGGAAAAGGTTTCAGCAAAGAGAAAGTTCCGTGTATTTAATGAGCATGCCAGTTCTTCTGGCTTACAGAAAAATATTTACAATAATATAGATATAGAAGTGGAAAATAGGTCTAGCAAGCATGGGAAAGACCATTTATATGGTCCTAGCAGTAGTAAAAATGTAAAAGAGAATCAATCTTCCTTCACTGTTAAGGATGATATTCGGCACGGGGAAAAAACAACTAAAGAAAAAGTTTATCCCTGCCCCAAGTTGAAAAACTGCAATTTCTGTAATGGTGTTACTGGTCCTTCAGGGTTAGACAATGAGCGGGGAGATGAAGAGTCTGAGTTTAAGGATGCTACTCGACATGGAGAAAGGACAACTACAGAAAAAGTTTCTGCCTGCCCCAACTCTGAAAACTCTAATTTCTCTAATGGTGTTACGGGTCCTTCAGGGTTAGACAATGAACGAGGTGATGAAAAGTCTGAATTTAAGGATGCTACTCGACATGGAGAAAGGACAACTACAGAAAAAGTTCATGCTCGCCCCAACTCTGAAAACTCTAATTTCTCTAATGGTGTTACTGGTCCTTCAGGGTTCGAGAAAGAACTAGGTGATAAAGAGAAGTTTATGAGCTCCAACCAAGATGTACAAGACATGCAAGTTGACGATAATGAATCTCCATTGAATGCACATGACAGGCAAGTTGACGATGATGAATCTCCATTGAATGCACATGACAGGCAAATTGATAATGATGAATCTCCATCAAGGAGTAAAAATGACAATATTTCAAAAGGGAATTTTAACGGTACCTCTTTTGAAAAAATACATTTTAATGGTCCTGAGTTTGAGTTACGTACTCAAGATGCTGATCTTAATGCGTCAAATGAAAAGAATATAATTAATCAAAAAGAAAAGCTTAAGGAAACCGATTTATATAAACAAGCCATGGAAGAGGAATGGGCATCAAGACAGCGACAATTGCAAATTCAGGTGATTCACATATGGCATGCTGTAAATATTTTATTTCTTTTAGCTATGCCTTTACATGTGTTCACTGGCGGATCTTGAGGAAAATTTTGAGGGGTGCCAAAAACTAACGCATATATTTAAATAGATAAATTATTTTAAAAATTATCATAATTGGTTAGTTGATGTGGTGGTTTTTTATATTTTTATTATATAACGAAGTCAGTTCTACTCTTGGTAACAATACTTTTTATTTTTTATTTTTTATTTTTTATTTTAAATAATACTTTTTACAAGTTGAGAAGGGGCTAATTATTTTGTAAATGCTACCTCCCTTGTAAAAATGCACAGGCATTTCTTGTTTAAATTTATCTAGTTTACCTTTGAAGCCCTTATAATTTTGAGTCTTTGGATGATAACTTGAAACTTTAGGAATTTCAAATAAAGATGAGCATTTTTTTCATTTACTATTGTTACTCATCTTCACGTTTGTTAAGCGAATGTGTGTTTTTAAAAGAGATCTACTATTATGAAAAGAAAAGCGTGCTAAAAAATACTTGTTGATGTTAAGAAAGTATGCTGCTTGCGAGAGAAAAAGAGAAAACTACCAAGAAAACAGAGAACCTAAATGGAATGGAGCTGCCCAATCCCTCATTTATTGGAAAAACCTTGTTAAAATGCTTAGATACTCTTTTCGCATATAGATCCGAAATATCTAATGTTTCCTAATTGAGTTATAGAGTAGTCAATAATGGCCAATGGCGGTGCTCTCCCTCTATAGCGGAGCGGAGGCTGATCGCTTTGGGAAGAGTCTTAGCGCTGCATAATACTATAGCAGCTGCCATAGGGTAAATATTGGGATGGCGGAGCAGAGCTGTTCCCGGCCTGGAGTGGTTTCTGGATGCTATCCTTCCCCCCTCTAAAAAAACCGAAATTACCTCTTAAATTTACAACATTTTAATAATAATTTTGGGTTTTTCAATCAAATTTGAGTTGAAACTCAACCTTAACCTTCCTTCATAGTCATTATGGCTTTATGCACTTCAAGAGTCATGTGTGCTTTGATTTATGAATATTTTATGAGGTGAGTTATTTGTTTAGTTTTACATATAATATATGTTTATAATTATTATATGTAATTTGTCCAAAAAATGATCAAATAGAGCGGTCATCCTGCTATCCCACTTTTGGAGTCGGTCGCTCCGCGCCGCTATCAAGGAATGTCTAATCTGGTTATGCTTATGTTAGATGAATCAACATGTGGCTTAACTGAATGTTTTAGGCCAATGTTATACATCCTAATATTAATGGATGAAGGTGCTTGAGATGCTCGGGGCATTGGCAACTCCGATGCAGTAAATTTATGTTCTTATGGAAATGCTGAAATTTTTGTTAAGGGATTCAAATAGAGTAATGGATAGAGATTCAGATCAGGGTCCTTTTATGGGTAAGTTCAATATTTGTGCCTACAAGTCAACATTGCCCAAACTGTGGAAATGATGGGTTTTGCCAACTAAGGATGGCCAGTTTGGGGAAAATTTCTCTACACTGCTTGAGCTCCTCAGGAAGAAAGAAAAGGAAGCTTGGAGAGAAATAAGGGCTTAAACATTTGCTTGTAGGTTGTTGTTTGTTTCAGGCGTTGAAGATTATGATGAAGCAGTTGAATGAAGTAGGGCAGACAATGTTGTTGATGGCCAATGGTGGTTTATGGCATTTGAGGTGGAAGCGATGTTTAAAAACTCGAGAGTTTCACAGAATTGGTAAAGGATTGAAAATTTGTAACTTGAGGATCATAGCACGGATTGTAAGATCCTACTACCAGTAGAAAAGTATGTTTATATATTTATATTTTACAGGAGGTATTGATTCACTTCCATTATTTGAAGCCATTTACACCAAATAGAATCTAAAGAATAAAAAAAGAAAAGAAAAATAGGGAATGAAAAAAATCGAAGAACAGGGGAGGAAAAAGAAAAAGAGTCTAAACAAAAAGGAAGCATGAATGAAAGGAAACAGGGTACAGTTTAGAACAAGGAAGAGGAATTAAATTGGTTTCGAAGAGTAATATGGAAGAAAAATCGTGATTGAAGGATGAGAATTTATGCTGAAATAAAAGATTAATGATACGTTGGTAACGGATGCGATTATTGAGAGTGGAAGGCTGCAATAACGAACCGTTTACGTAATACTGCGTTTACTTGGTACTGCTTTTTATTTAAAGGACGTTATGATACAATGTCTCAGATTTTCCATTTAAAAGAACAATAAATAAGGATTTTAATACGACCCGACCCGGTTCCAGCACATCTCCAAAAAACCCAAAAACAGATGTGCTGCATCTCATAATTCATAACTAGTTAGCTTTTTAACTCGGATGAGTTTACCGAGTTTGCTAGATACGATTTTACTTGAAATGCAGCATGCGATTGGAACGTCGGATCGGACGAGTTCACGAGTTGACTCGTGATCCTGCATACACTGGGTGGAAGAGACAAAGAAGGAAGTGGTGCTGAAATGCAAAGCTCCAGAACCATGTGGAATATGTAGTGAGGCCTGGCTTAAAGACTTGGGAAAGTAATGTTGGATTGGGAGTAAATTAAGGGGAAATCAGTACAACTGATGGGACTACCAAGCAAAGCAGTTAAGTTAGCATGAGAGAGCAACCAATGTTGCATTTGGCATCTTTTAACAATAGACTGGAAAATCTATAACGAACCATGACTGAAGTAGATGGTGACAGAAAGAAGCTATAGCCATTGATTGGAAAATAACTATGTAGTTTGCTATTCTTGTGCATGCATGTGATTATAATTTCAACTTTGAGATTTTGCAAACAATGACTCGAGCTCCTTACTTTTCCATTCAAAATGACTCATTCATTCCAGAAGAATCAAAATCCAATATAATTGTGTTTGCTTGTTGGATTGTCCAGCATTACCCTACTGCCCTGGCTTACCAGCCTAGTAATTTTAAAAAATGGTCTATCTTATGCGGATTAATTACATTCAATGCCGACCAATGTAAATCTTTTAAACCACCAATGTCATTCTTGTTATTGTCTTTTTTTTTTCTTTGTAATTGTTATGACCAATCAATATGTTATGGTTTGTTGCTGTCAATATTCTTTTGTGCCTTAGGAGTTTAACTTATTCCATTCAAGTGATTACTAGGTATATTTGATGTTGTTCACTTAATTGTATTAAGCTTTGTTTATATATGCCGCTCTTGCATATTGGGCAAGTTTTTGTTCTGTTAACTGAGAATATGCATACTACAGTCAGAGGAAGCACAAAAATTGCGCAAAAGAAAAAAGGCTGAAAGTCGCCGATTGCAGGACATTGAAAGAAGGCAAAAAGAACGCGTTGAAGAAGTGAGAGAGACAGATAAGAAGGTTGCAATTATATCTTTAACTTGAGTATTTCTCATGCTACATATACTTCACGTGTCAGTTAGTATTTGCTTACTTCCATTTTATTTTTTACTTGAACTAAGTTTGGTGGATTTGGATTCTCTGAAGTGTATCATCTAAATTCAGAGGAGCTAGATCCATGTTAGGTCATTTGAATGTCTTCTTTCATGCTTTAATGTGAACCTAACTTAGTCATAGAACTTTGTTGTAACTGGTTATTTCTCTGTTAATCTGATAATTAATGCCAAATTCAGGAGGAAGAATATATGAACATGAAAGAGCAACTGCGGGGTGAAGTACTGAAGAAGCTCAATCAATTGGAGAATGAATGCTCAGATATGACGTCACTGCTTCGTGGCTTAGGAATAACTGTGGGGACAAGTCTTAGACCTTTACCCAATGAGGCAAGTTCTGTTATCTATTGCTTTTCAATAGTATATCATTCTCTACTTCACTTTATACTTTAGATTATGTTTATTGTTTCAGTACTATGCTACAACAATCTTTAGATGATTACTAAGCATACAACATGCAGTCATTTAACATATAAGAAAGGGAGAGAAGGGGATTGAAACAAGTGCCAGAAAATCAGAAATTCACTACATTTTAAAATTTGTTTTTCCACATTTACATGCAAACATATTTGAGTCCCCAAAATTGTGTAACATCTCATGTCTTCCCCTTCGGCTGAGTTCATTTTTGGTTAACTGTCACGAGTTTGTCAGCTTTTTATGTCTTGACATGAAGTGTCTTTTGTTCCGGTATTTCATGTTTAACATTGTTATCATCTGATCGTCATTTTAGGTGCATGCTGCCTACAAACGGGCTATGTTTAAGTTCCATCCAGACCGTGCATCAAAAACTGACCTGCGCGAGCATGTTGAGGCCGAGGAGAAGTGCAAGCTCATCTCACGAATGAAGGAGAAGTTTTGTAATACTTCATGGCACTAGATAATTTCCATCCTCTGAATGGATATGGTCGGTGTTTTAATTGAAGCGCTTATGTTTCATTTTATTTTTCTATTATTGATTAGTTCATTTACTATTTCCTACCTTCCCCCAAATTTAATGGCATGATATTATTAGGTTTAAGAACAAAACATGTAAAGGTTATATAACTCAGGAAATGCCAAATTTTGAAGATGGGCTGTAAAATTCATCCATATTGTGTATCATCCATATTGTGTATTAGACAGTGTTGATGTCATCTTGCCGCATCAGCATTTTTTACCAATTTATTGTCATTTTGATCATTGAAGACGAAGCAATGAGATACAAATAATGTATATATTCTTGTTTTATTATCATTTATGTCGTGCGACAAAAACATTAGTGCTTTCCAGCTTTCTTCAACTTTTCAATGCAAAACTCAATTGAAAAATTTGACTAACCAAATTGAAGTTCATTATACATTGGATCAAATGTTAAACCACATATTATGGAAAAAAAAGTATCTCATCTACATAAAACAATATTTTATAATAATATAGAAATTTATTTATTAAAAGAATTGTTTTGGTTACAGAGATGTTCGCAAGGTTTGATTTGGTTTTGAAGGAATTTGATATTTAATAGGATAAAAAATATGTGAATTGGATTGAATTGAGTTTGGATATTTTTGTAATAAAAATCTAAATCAAATTAAATTGAAAAACATTAGATTGAATTTGCATATTCTTACATAGCCCAAATCAAATTAAATTGAAAAACAGAAAAAAATAATATATTTACATCAAATAATTTATTAAATAAATTTTTATAGTATTTTGAAAAATTTTCATAGCTACACTAACAATATTTCTTAGCATATTCAAAATAATCTAACACGAAAAATATCTAACATAGGTTTTTTAGTTTGGAATTAGTCACTCATCAAAATATTGTAATTAATCACTTATCAAAATATGTGTGTTTACAAAGACAATAAGATAATTGAAATTAGACTTTCTTAAATGTAAAATCCTTAATTTTTTTCATCCTTAAATGTAATTAATCACTAATTTTTAAATGTCAATCTCCTCTCTCATTTATACTCATACAAGTTAATTGGTGCTTTTTTTTTTTTTTTACTTATAATCAGATTAAGTGAAATATAGATGAAACTTGTAAAGGAAATTCTGAAATATTATGGTATCATATTTAGAGATAACTTATGAACATTCTTGATAGCTTTCTCAATTAAGATTGAAGTTTGTATGTCCTTTTAAGTTAAATTATATGAAATCATGTTTTCTCTCAAATATGATATCAAGAAAGAAAAATTTGAGAAATCTTTGACTTATAGTTGACTCAATGTTGATTATTCGTGAATTTTTTGTTGAACATTGTCTCTTATCATCTTTTAATTAAAATAAAATAATACTTTAGACACTATGCATTTTTGTAGATTCAAGATGTCTCATATTTTGAGAGAGAAAATAGAGAATTTAACCCGTCAGACCGTAATTATATATGTCACCTTCCAATTTTTTAATATTTCCAAAATATCCTATCTAATATTTACTTTAAAATTATATTTTTTTTTTTCAAAAATTTTCACTTTTTTCTACCTATGAGATCAAAAATTTCGGTAATGCATTTGAAATTTGCAGGACGTATTTTTGCGCAAATTTTGTAAATTCACGTGTGCATACTAGAAATTTGAAAAATTTCGATAAAGAATACCAGAAATTTGAAAATATCCGATAAATTATACCGAAAATTTGGAAATATCTGGTAATTTACACAATTTTCGTTACAATATTGTAAATTTTCAAAATTTCCGGTAACCAACAAAAACTTCTCGAATTTAGGAAATTTCCGGTATACCGGAAATTTTTCCTGTAGCATAAATTTTCGTAACTGTCGCGGTGAGAATTGAATACAAAGCTATTGATTAACTTGAATCTTAATTCATGGTTCACCACCGGTCTTTAATTTGTCCAAAGGAAGGGAAAAAGATCGAATTACCCACGATGCAATGCAAATGCAAAAGCTAGAGAGTTTAGGTTCGGGGGTTGGTTAAATTTAGGGAAGGTACTAACATCCTAAATTTTTGTAGTACTCTACATGAACCTCTTGTTTTATGTGTGTTTATTGCTAAGAGTTATCTGCTTAAGGGTGAAAGACCTAGTGGTTTATTTCTAAGTATACTCGTCAAGACATCGCATCTTGTGCCTACATATCCTGACGGGAATAGAATCAGAGTATTTGTAGTTCCCCTAAAAGGATTTGAGGAACTTCTTGACTATGACCAAGGTTCATAAGGGATAAGGTTCGTTGATTGATTCTAGGAGAAAAGACGAGTCGTCATCTTAAGGGAGAATACTCGACTTAACCACCACAACTTGTAGGAGATGATCTTTGCATCGTCTTGAGAGAAGAGCTCAAAAACTCGGATTTCATCGACGAGTATGCCACTATCTCCCTCAAGCGGAAAAGATCCTATATCTCTCGATTGTATTGTTATGGGGCAGGAGAATTATATCTCAACTGTCAAGATGACTCACGTCTAATTCTCTTGTATGGAGAATAGTTTGATTGAGTTGAATTGAATGATTTATCTAAGTTGAAAAGATAAAATGGTCTTCCTTATGGGGTAGGATCTAAACTTAAGCTGATCAACTTGAAAAATATCAAGGATCGAGCGGTGAGTATGATGCAAATGAGGTGCGATACGCACGACTTATGAAGTCATGTGTAGGTTCTTCCTTTGGACATGCACAATGCGATAAAATAAAGACGAAGATAAAATAAATCCAGACAAACAGATATAAATGTTAAAATAAGCCAAGCGCGGGGTCGTGAATACTCGAGATAAATCGGTGCTGAGAGATAGAAAGAGATGGAAACGCGTGTTGATTAAGTTTTATGCGAGATTGATTTTAAGAAAAAAGTTATATTAGTTGGTGAATTAATTTTTTTTTATGAAATTAAATTATGAGTTGATTAGGTTCGAAATAATTAAAATAAATAGAATTCATTAAAAGAAAAAGGTTTTTATTAAATAGCAAATAGTTTTTAGTTATTAACAAATAAAAAAAATGCAAGTTATTAAAAAAGGGTTTTTGGTGAATAATTATATTATTTAATAAAAAGGTTAAGTTGATAAAATAAATGAATTAATAAACATAGAATAAATCTAGATTATTAGAGAAAAGTTGATTTAAATAAAAAGTTAATTAATTATAAAAAAGTTATTAGTTGTTTTTTTTATAAAAAAGTCTTATTTAAAAGATTAGATTAATTAATTAATTAAAAAAAAAGTTAATTATATTAAGTTAAATAAAAAACAGATTAATGGTTTATTAAATAAAAGTTATAAATGTTATTTAATAATTAAAATAATGATTTAATTAAATAAAACAGAATTAAAAAAGAAAAGAAAATGAAGGGTTAGAAAAGAGGGGGGGGGGGGGGGGGGCGAACGGTTGCATGCGAAACGGCCATGAGGGTGTACGGTGGAACGCGAAGTGTGGGCCGTGTGATGTGTGATTAGTGAGATGAGTGGTGAAGATCGTGAGGGTGTACGGTGTAACCGTGTGTGTGTGTGTGCACATGTGATTATAATACAAATATTAAAAAAACAAAACAAAAACCCTAATCCCCCCTCATTCACGTCTCAGCGCCATTGCTTCTCTCTTTCTCTCCATCTTCTCATTTTCTTTCTTCTCTCCAAAACTCGCTCCTCTCCCCTCTATCCGTGGCACGACCTCCTCTTCTTCTTCTCTTGCATGTCTAAACTTCTTCTTCTTCGTTTATTTTAATGCAAAAATAAGAGAAAAAAAATTTAAAAGAGGGTCCTTACGGTTTGGACTCTGTGTTTCGTGATTTGTTGACGGTTGTGTTTCTGGGTTCTTCGCAATCAGGGTTTCGTGATTCTTTGGGTTGGATCATGAACGGTTTCGTGATGTTTTGTGGGTTTTGATTTCGCTGTGATTTGTTGACGGTTGTGTTTGCTGTGATCTGGGTTTCTACGGGCTTGAAACGATTTTGTGGGTTCTTGAGGCAATGATGATATATCTGAGCCTCTGATGTTATTCTTCCTCTCTTATATACTCGGATTTGAAACGTTTTGAAATAAAGGCCTTAAAAACTTTTCCTCTTTCGGTTTGCCCTGTCTTAGATTATTTGGGAAAGTTCTTGATGAATCTTTGATACTTTCTTGATTTGTTTTGATTGATGCTGATGACGATTTTGGAAACTTTTACAAATCCTTAAAAAAATTTCCATCTTCGTTCTTGATTTGTCTGTGAAGGTTTTGGAAGATTTCAGATCTGTTTGGCTTTAATGGAAATTTTTTATGGCGTTGATTCGTTTTGCTGTCCATTGATGGTAATATCCATCAGTTTTGATATTGGTACAGGCTGTGCATTTTCGGATTTGGGTTGACTTTGCTGTATTTTTCATTTTCTTTATTTTGTTGTTGATGGTGATTCGTTTTTGTGATCTGGGTTCGGTTTTGGATAATTTCCATTTTTTCGGATCTTTGCTGTTGTTTTAATGATGATGGCTAATTTTGGAAAGTTGGATCTTTGGATGGTGTGTTGGAAAAACGTGTCTCTTCCTCTTCCTTGCTGCGAAAATTCAATTGTATTATTTTTTTTGAACAGACATTGCCTTGATCTTCTGCTTGATGCTGTAAAAGAAATATTGGCATTGGTGATGATTGTTGCACCCCAAAATTTGCCTAACCTTTTCTTACTTGGTTTATGTTTCATTTGCATTAGCATATAATTGCATTAGCATTTGCATAGCATAACATTGTTCATTTAACAGGGGATCAAATGAGAAGCCTAGCCAGAGGATTATTCAAGTTTGAGAAGTCACCATAATCATCAGGAAGAAGGTTGGGTTCTTAAGAGGGTCATTTGCTTGTATGGGGCTCATCTACTAACTGGGGAGCCTCTTGAAGGCCATCAGAGGGTTGTAAAGCCTTGGAGGTGGATGTGATATATGGATAGAGCTCATGG